TTTAAATAAAAGACGCGTGATGCGATTTTTCTTTACATTTTTCAAGTCGTTCTGCGCAAGAAAGATGTGGCGTCGAACGCAACGAGCGGTAACAGATCTATTTTTATATAGGCTTATCGGATATGTTTTGTTTGCAAACATTTGATGTATGTAAAAAAAATATACACATCACTTATTGAAAATAAATCCATCTCTGATTTGGATATTTTTGATAAAAAATATTTTAGTGGAGGTGAAATAAAATGAACACGAGACAATACATGTATGAAGAATAATGTATCCACTTCCAAATATTTCTTGTTTATAAAACTTAAATTTGGCACCTAATCACTCGTTTTGCGCGTGGGCAGAATAATATCGTACTGCCCATTCCTTCCCGCGAAATTTCAACTTTGAGCGCATATTGGTGAACGTTTATTAATCTGTACTATAATATCAGTAATTTTGATAAAATATTCTGATGGGCGTTACATCTATTTATATGAATACTAAATTACAGGTCTAAAGTTTGAATTTCAGGGGTAATGTCTTCCACAATAAGGAATGTCCACCAATAAAACTGTGAAAGGCCATTTTGTTTTACAGAAGTGTATTGTGCTGCAAATGAATATAGAAAACACCATATATAGAATATAGAACACACCACGAGTTTTATTTTTGAAAATGAACTCAAGAATTTTCTAGACGAAAATGAGCTCATTATTTATTTATTATTCCATCGCTCAAAAATGCTTTTTCGAAATTTTAGAAATGTTTAGGTCCAATAAAATAGAGAGCTGAATTGGCTTTTTAGAAACCGTTAGGGCACCGTTATCTAAATGGGTGCATCTCATACTTAAATTCAATCGATAATACATAATTCATTCAATATAAAGTGTGCGACAAAGCATTTAATTGGTAATTACTTAAATTATTTAATTTTAATTTTAGGTCTTGAAACTTCATTTTGAACAACATTTGGACTGCAAATATAATACTTGTAGTGCAGCATAGCATATAAATTAATGAGTTTACAATAAATACCATCATATCTTTGTTCTGAAAATCGTAATACAAATGCAATTAAATAAATAACAAGTTTTTGGTTTGGTTACAGGAGATTCAAAACAAAAATATCAAAGGAAGAGTTTGATCATAAAAATCATGTATTCCACTACTAATGACCGTACAATAAAAATAATGTGCGCACTCTAAAATAGATAAGGAAAACAAAGCTTTGAAATCCTTCTTTCATTATTTGATTGTTAATGATTTCGAAAGTCAAATAAAAACTAGCCCACCAACCTTAAATTACACTACTGTAAATTGTTAAATTTATGGCTAAATTGTTAAGATAAATATGCAGTGAGTGACAATTGTATACAAATCAAATTAAAGTTGGATTAACTTTCTTTTAAATTGTTCAAATGTAACTATGTTAAACTAAATTAAGTTTACAAATAAAATAAATTTGAAGAAAGCACCAGTAGTGTGCAAAGGTCAAAGTTTGCAACTGGAAGCGCGACGAACTATGTACTTGGCAACTGAATGTGGTGACGGGCAAGTAGTTACCTGGAAAACATACATAACTCCTTTACAGCGGCGTTGTCCGGCTCATCTTGGCTACGCAATTATACACACAGGGCAACTCGTGAGGCGTTGATTGATGCGTTGCCTGGGAATTGCTCAGGTTACCCACGGCCCAAACTTTTAATGTTGCGCCCTTAACGGAGTAGTTGAGTGAATGCACGCATGACAAACGTGGCAATGATAACACCTCTATGTGAATGGCTAGTTTAGTCGGTTAGAATATACCCCTTCCCTTTAGGCCTGTATAACAACACCGTCGTAAGACGCATTACACTGAAATGAACACGGTAATGGATTAGTTATCATTGATGATCAAATTTGTGTTCACAATAATTAATCGCTACTTTCTCCCGAAATATGTCCAGGTTAAAAACTGATATTTACAGTTATATGTATTTATTTATTTATTGTTGGATTAGTAGGACGGTTATTTTTCATCGTGTTCACGAACCAAAGCAATAAATAACTTTTGTAAGTTACCTTCAGTTTATTCAGTTATGTAGATACAATCAGAATACCACAACAAATGTCCTACTTACATTGCCGTCACTGTACTAGGATTACAATACATTCAGTACAATACTCGTGAGTACATAACAATGCTATTTAAACTGAATAGTCGTACGAGTTGCGTATGTGCGTGGGCGGTGGCTGTGTTACCGTATTGTTTACAGACCTGCCTGCCAACTGTGTTCTTGAAAGAATGCAATTCTTTGTTCAAAATTATTCCCCAGACAAACACAGAAGCAACCCATTTCTGCATTGTCAAACCACCGACCACGGCGACCAGTGATGAGAGGTGGCTATGAAATCTTGAACCGTGTTGTAAGCTTTATCTTTTGTGGTCAAACCTTATTCCTACCATTGCCCCGGGGATTAAATTGATCTACTGTACTACATTGGTATGCTGAGAATACGGTGTGTCGATAGACAAGCACGGTGTACTTATTCGTGTGAGTATGTCGTATAGTCATGTATAAATAGACAAAAATACAGCATACGTAGTTTTACACTTGTATATGCATTATGGTATGTTGTAATATTCTAATTTTACAATATATCAGTTTATGACAACCTACTATTGACTGTGTGTTAGTGATATTCATACTGGGTAAAACCTCACTGTAGCCATATATACGTGTATTTGTAAATTCAGTCACTACATCGAATCAGGTTTACATGGAAATAAACCAGTAAGCCTGGAGACAGTTGGATTATAATCAAATATCGTAACAGGGTACTATCATATCTTCGAGTCGGAACAGAGCTCCGAACTCCCGACTTTAAACGTCCAGCAGCCAACATTTTGTGTGTGCGTACGTTTTATGGTTTTGTCCTGAACCTAATTCCTATTTGAAGCACATCTTATTTTGACCTATGTGACAATTGTACTATGGCGAATTTTATATATGAATATTAAAACTATTCTCATATTAAATAATAAAGGGATGAAATTAGTCCTCATATTGTATTATCATAAAACATTATCATGTTTGGTCACCGGTATTGCTAGTAATACAACTTTAATTGACCGAGTACGTTAATTCCATTAATAAGAATTGACGATAGTATGTACTGTCAAAAATGCTTGGCAGAAAAATAATAATATCCTAATCGGGTTGCGGTGCGAGTCGTTCACAAAAATAATAAGCATATAGTACTTATTGAGCAATGAGTGAAATGGTTTGCTTGCTGGTGCCAGCCTCGAATCGATGTTTAAATTTCTTCTTTTGGTAGGTCTAGCTAACTAAACTGACGTTCAACATTGTCGTAGCCCGGTCACTGACCGTATAACCCAGTCAGATTGTGTATAACCCTGCCCTGCTATAGTACAACGTTGTCGTAGTACAGTTACTGGTCGTGCAACGTTTATTTCGTACGCCATTGTATTTTTGACTATACACAGACGTATGTGTCAATTCGGTGTCACCAAAGTGCTATCAGTTCAGTAAGTCAAAAGTCAGGCTCATGAAACTTCTGAGCAGTTCTTTCGATTATTCCACCACTTATACACGGCCACAATAGCTGAGCTACCTAAAATTAGTGCGGCTCCAATAATTTCCCAAAATTTTACATTTTCGGAGAAGATAGTCACGTCTCCTATGTAAGCTACGCATATTTGAATATTGACGAGCAAAATAACAGTAGGCGCCTGTTCCATGTGTAACGCAGACATAACAGCAAGGCTTGCCAATATGTAACATATTGCCTGGACACATGTATAAACCCATGCATATAAATTGCCATGCCATGAATCTACATTAGATATTAAAAGTCCCGGGAAAATAACAACTGATCCAATAGCACCGACGTAAAATAAAATGACTGTTATATGCACATCAGTCCTTAATGAGCGGATCGCGACGGCAGAAATGGCAAGTAATACGGCTGTTACTATACTTAGAACTGTCGATATGGCAAGGTTGTTTGTGCTATCATGTCCACTCTCGTCACTGCTGTTGCCAAGCATAAATGATGGTCCCGTAATAAGAACGATACCAGCGACATTCAAAATAGTATTAACTGCATCAACAAAATTCCATTTTTCGCCTAAGAATATTCTCGCAATGCAAGCTGTTATGATAGGCAGTGTACCAAACGTTATAGATGAAACATTGCCGACGAGTCCATACCTAAACGCATAATACAGACTTATTCTTCCAATGGCTTCAATGACTCCGTTTAATATGAGCAAACCTTTGTCCCTCTTAGGGTAGTTCACAATAGGTAATTGTTGGTGTAGAATAAAAGGTATCATCGCCAATACACATAGTACGTTCTGTGTGAATACTATCTGAGCCGTTGAGCTATCGTTTGTTTCTGCTAGCTTTACAGTGACTGTACAGAGACCATACACAATCCCTGCTACAGCAGCATAAATTAACCCATGTGATAAGTGGCAAGGATTCCGTTGTAGTTCGGGGTCTGGTAATGTCCATAGTTGCTGTAATTCGCCTACCTCATTGCAACGTGTCGCCATTTTCGAAACGATGTCGTTAAAAATAGAACAATGTTATTTTAATATTAAACTGTACATTCACTCTATATGGCACTATTCAATGCATACCCTATAGGTTTGCAGGAATGGTGACAATGCACCTGAGGAGAAATTATCATCTACGAAATGGTCTCCCAAAACTGAAATCGTTCTCGCTGCTAGACCAATCCTGTTGGTTTTAGATACCCACTTCGCGTTTTCACCTGGACAACTTTTTTTGCACGCATGTACCAGGAATGCTGGCTGTACAGTGCGTCGATCTTTTCACTATTTTTCATCAAATGTTGAATTATGATGCACTATTCAAACCCATTCATACGCCCTAGTGATGGTGAATGAAAAGCATCTCAATAGTAGACGACATACACTTTTATACAAACACGTCGAAAAAAAGAAACGCGTTATGCGGCACATACTCGTATACGGTTTGTGCGAAAGAATCAACTCAGGAAGGACTACTGTATATTTTGTGGGCAGAACAATGCTGACTATTCAAGCTCACGTAAATTAAATTAAATTCACAAATGTAAAAAATAAATTCTATTTTACTTCAAGTAAACAACTGACAAATCAAGAATACACAATCGGTTCTTCGTATGTTCTAGAATTTATACATAGTTCTTTCCCCGGAATGTATGCAAAATACACGTAATAGAATAATGACAATGAGGGCGTAAAGTCAAATAAAATGTTAGTATGCGTTGCATAAAACGCTGTACTGATATAATTATATTATATACAGCGGTAAGTAATGAATTTACATCAATAAATACGTTATAGCATTTGAAGTATGATTGATAAATTGTTTAGTAATTTTGAAATATATTTTAGAGATATGTTTGTTGAAATATATCGCCATATTCACGTCATATTCAAAACGTTTTATTTGTAATGCGATTTTTCGTGAATTGATGTTACCATAGAGTTTAACTATAATTGATTGGCATTACGTGGAATATGTTAGACCCAAGGGCACTCACCTTATTTCAGGTATTGATATGTGATTTATGTATGCGAGGTCACTGTTGAACAATGAAAGTTTTTCTACGAAAAGTCTGGTAAAAATAGACCTTACACGATAGCATATAGGTATGTTAGGTAGGCTGAGTCACTGTGAACTAATGTGATCAAACACCTTCACACCGACAACGGACCATAGCTTATAGAGTGTCAAGTGACAAGTTTTACATCAGTTCACTCCGCAATACACGGTTTTCCATAAAAGTTAAAGACTCTGAACAATGAACCCTTTTTAGAATATATCAATCTATTGATAATACTGCATAAGGTGTAGTGTAGTTATAGTTATATATTGTGTATATTTTATTGTGTATAAAGATAAAACTACGCAATCAACATCAGATGTTTATCTACAAGTGTCCGAGGATTCCCCAAAGTTGTTTGAAAAACTATGGAGAAAGTCATGCCCTTGGTTCTACAAAAAATCTAGTCAAATAAACTTTGGTAGTTTAAGTAGATTGAGTCATCGTGTAGTATTTTGAAACGCTGTTACATACCAACAAATAAAAAATAGCTTAGAATTATCAATGACAGCGCTTGTGTCAACCTACTACTTCAATGTAATTTTAGAACATTAACGTGAAGCTAGTGTCTTTAGATTCAATTTAAAATGTAAAACTGGTCAGCCATATAAACTATCGATTTAACACGGTTTCAATTATTATCTTTACATAGTCACTGGTTTTCACCGAGAAAATTGAGCATAAATATTTCAAAATATAAATTTCTACCGAAACTATGCAGAATTAGTTAGAATTAGTTTAGCCGTGCCAGATATTAGAACGACTTGCAGGGCGAATGGAATGTCTAAACGTGTTTCAGCTTGCTCAATTTTCTATGGATTGTATTTTATTTTAGTATATAGTCACCTTTCCGCCCACTGCGTAGCTGGTGTCGCGGTGGTCACATTAAGTGACTCGCCAGATATGTTTAGTACTAGTGGACTATATACTACTATATACTTGGATCGACGAACTTAATGTCATGTCTTTTTTTATTGAGTGTTTAAATTTACAATCATAGCATAAATTGTCATTTATGTATATATAGTCCACGTACCTTTTCTCTTTCAGTAACTTTGAGACCAGCCAGTTGAATGTTATCCCGGAAAGAGGTGAATGGTTCCAGAAAGGTAGTGCAATGAAACTTCGATTCAGCTCAACAAGATTACAACTTTAAAGACGCAAGTAGAAAATACAGGCGAAATATCTGCTAATCAAAATACTACAATTACTCAGATGGAAATTCCTAAGGGTTTTCCCCTAAGTTATACATCCTCCCACTCCATGCCGAGTACGTACAAAACTATAACATAAACATTATAGCTAAATCTACGAAATTTATATATTTTACACATAATAAAGACATAAAGACATAATGAGATTGATTCTCTTTTTCGGCTGAGTCGGGATGTTTAGCGTTTGTTGTGCCACAAAACATTATTTGATTATCTTCAAAGTTGGAAATAACAGTCTTATTTGTTCACAAGCTAGGTTACATCTGTCAAAAAAAAAACTTTTAAATTAAGACTAGTCATTTTTTAAACCCGCTTTGGTTAAATAGTTTGGAGAAAAGGCCCTGACATAACGAACAAACTAACACATGTAGGTTGGAATAGAATATAAACGTACAGATGTGTAACATTTGTGATGGCAAAATTAACATTATCTCTTTTATCATACAACCAGCTTAATATATAGATATTATTACTTTGTTAATTAGCTGAGTATAGTGCACAGGCTATTATGAACTATTGTTATACCTCGTGACCATGACAGCCAATCAGATTCGCGCATTGCAGGTAGACATATTCGTGTGTCGACCTGCTGCCATATTCGTATGTCTACCTCCATCTGGGTACCTTTCTCATGAATTTATTTGATTTACGCCAATAACTTGTCAAGGGAACACCATACGCGGCGATATTCATGATCTGATTGTTTGCTAGGTTTGCGTTCACTATATGTCTATCTTATTGGATTAAAAACTAGGAATTTGTTCACTGATTTCGCGTGATTTTTAGTCCTTTCACCAGCGCGCTCAGCTATGCGCTTTGGGACATTCGATCTGCGATTGCGCAGTTCGTCTACCTAAAAATCCTGAGAGTCGTAAAAGAAATGGTATGCATTGCCGTGTGATAACTGTCATTAAGGTGATTGACATGTCATACTTGTTTTCAACTCTGGAAGGACAATTGGAATCTATCAGGTATGTTTGTGATTTACATAACAAAGGATGTTTACGGTCTACTGACTTGCCGACGTGAGACAACTGCTAGCATGAACACATTCTGATTGGCTCCTGTAGAAACCCAGGTGGTGCCCTGAATCTGGGCCATTTATACCCTATAAATAGGCTAGACTGAAGACAGCTGGGGTCCACCATTTAAACTGAGTATTGTGTATTTCTGCTGCGATATTGTGAGACAAGTGATACAGACTTCAATCATCGATCTGTGAGACTCTTATTAACTGCTCTGCGATCTTCTGCTTTCAGCGATGCTCTCCAGAATAACAGCGTTTCTCTGCAAGCAAGATTCCTGTATTTTTTCGTCGTTGTGTCGCAGAAGCCATTGTTATCCATTTCTACATCCTGGAACTGTGAGTTATCAGCAATGAAATTATTTTGAGAGGTATTAAAGCCAGGAGCTTTAACTCGATATTTTGGTGTATGTGTATTTTATTTCCAGTACTATTGTCTTGTCTATCCCTTTCTAGCAGTGAAAAAACCGCCTGTCCAGTGTGAGTTCTGTGGTTGTCCCTCTCAATAGCAATAAGCAGGCCTTACACTGTGACAGATTGGAAAGTTCAATTAACAATTTGGAAACAAGAAAATCTGTTGCGTTTCTATAAAGCTACCATGTATTAGTCCAGCGGCTTAGCATCAAACGTAGGTTATATATACGATATGGGTTCTACAGAACAATTTTATCGTTATGTTATTGGCTCAATGTATTTTTTGTTTCGTTTTATGCAATGCATAATATATCTCGACGTGCATTTATAGTGTTTGTAGTTTACAGAAAGGTGATGATTTTAACCATGCACGTATTTTGAGACTCTTGGCTGATTTGTCCCAACCAATTTGTGATTACATTTCTAAAAGCAAAAATAAAAAATAAAGTGGGAAATGTTTGTATTGAGTGAAAACTCGTTTCAGTTTGCAGAAAACTGTTTAATAGTTTAGGTTTATCAACTGACGAACCGTTCTTGCAAACAAATTCGCATGGAAGGTGGTATATCGACCGGGTTATTATTTTATTTGATTTATTTAACATTATCTAGGAATCATATAAAGCAATTTCAATGACAATGCCACTTTTAACTTTTAATTAAATTTTGGACATATTTATATATAATACGGAAGTACTCAAACATAAATATGCACACAAATCAAAATCATTAAACAATATTACGACCGCCACACGCAGAGTTCGAACATTAATGCAGCAGTACTTTGACTGTGGCGTCGATGAGGTTTTTGTTGGGTTGCATTCGAACACGATATAGCAATGTGTCGATAATTCTATACCAAGCAGTAGATTTTGCGATATGATTTCTTCCATAAAATGGCCACCTCACAGGGTGGTGAAATTATTGTGCAGATGTTCTCTTGAAATGTGTTACCCCGGGTAATTGGATTAACGTGCACTGTATGTGAGGGGGGAAACAGTTTGCATACATTTCAAATTAAAATTGTAATGACAGAAAACAAGACAGAAAACGTGTTCTATACGTGTAGATCAACTACGTGTTTTATTGTATAAGAAAAAACACAAATATGGCATACCGTACGCTATGAATGATTTTCACAAGGATGTAGTGGTTTACACCTCAACATAATGGTATCCTCCACGGTAGGTAGGAATCACGTAGTGTGGTTTAAATTTTAAAAAGCGGGTGTCGAACGCTTGTCAGCAAATTCTCTCGCTAATGAGGTGCGTTGATGTTGGGACGCTACATG